TGAGTCTCGTCATTCGTAGCACCAGATTACAACTCGTCAAATGGACAAGTGCTACGAATGGCGAGACTCACTGACGATGTCGGCGAAACGTTTGGGAATGTACCGTGTCCACGGTCCGATTTTGGTAATAATTATGCATACAATGGACTCATGACAAGGTGCGTTCCTCTAAGTCTTCCTAACAAAATGACCAAGTTGCGAAAACAAGGTCAAACAACTTTTATACAATGGAAGGAGACTGCGACCACAAAAAAAGACCACACCATCTTGGTCTTCAAACTTTCAAGCTTAAGTAGTTCTTAATCAACTTTATACCACCATTCCTCATATTCAATCTATTCCGCAATCTCTTAATTTAAATAGCCTCTCTTATCTTCCTCGTGACGGCAGACGTACCATTATCAGCAAATCTATTCGTTTGAGACCATTCCATATCACGTCAAACAACGCTATCTTAGGAGGTTGATCGAAACCAAGTTACTTTTCACATATACCCTAATCGTCCTTGTCCTGCAGTAAGCAGTCGTGAAGCAAAAAGAGGCCTGGACACACATACTACTCAACAAACTGACAAGCCTATCTCGGGGCAAAAGTCATACGGGCCGAAAAGAATGGATGAGGAGAGCATAATCCTTAGGCCGGCAGGCGTGAAGTGAAGACGAGAGGATACGCATAAACACACGTACGCACACACACAGTGAAGCAGAGACAAGAGGGGAGCGATTCAATGGATCTTCTGGCAGACGGGCTTTCAAGCAACGAGGCGTGACCGTAGAATACCCACAGAATACCCACAGAAGGGATTTGATGGGCTGAATTGTATGCGAGAAAAGCAGCTTAGCTGCTTAATTGGCTCTTCTTCTCGCCCCACAAGAAGCCTTCTGCCACAGCTTAGGCATCCGAGGGACCTCAACTTCACCTCGACGTGACAATGACGTGAAGCCTGGCAGGTAGTCTTGGATACGTGATACGAGAGGCTCATATTTCTGCAACAAAAGCCTTGGCTAGCCGTTCGTCCAAAGGGATTGGCCGAAGAGGCTTAAGTCCGTACATATCCACCTACCTACTTTGAGCATGTGTACTATCTTGGCTTGACCTTGAGTCGTGTACCTCTTTGTGTCACGCCTTGTTCTGGCCAGGCAGGAAGAGTTAAATGGCGGCTTGTGTCCTTCAGGCCCGGCAGATGCGCTTGTTTGAGCTGATCGCCGCGATCGCTGGCAAGAAGATGGCCCCGCAAAGGTCTTTGAAGGGAACCGTGACGCCTTTGGCAATCTTGGCTCAACTGCCCACACGCAAACGGACAAAAGGCCCCAGAATGGCATAGAACTTCACTCGGCCTTGCTCCGCAAAAGCCGATCCAGTTCGGACGAGACGAAAGCGATCCGATTTCGCATCGTCATCGCATCAGCACCCACGACGGGACTCGGATCAGGATCGTGCTCGTGCTGGTCAAATGGCAAATCAGCCACAGATGCCGGTGACCCATAGGAACAAGTGGGACTGGTATCGATAGCTAGTTCCGAGGATATTACTATTGTTAGATTGAGTTGTATTCGAAATTATCACTACATGTTCGATAAGTTTATTATAGGAAGTAGGCTCCGAGTGTAGTTGTCAAATACAATGCACATGTCGTGTGAAAGACGCAGGGTCTTTCCCAAAGTTCGCGTGGCGTAGTGACAATATGTGGATCAGAATTGGGTGCGGAATCTCCGGAGTCCGATTCCCGTTGAGGGTGCAGATGAGGGCGGTTCAGGCGAGGTGGAAACTATGCTCCAGTCCAGTCCAGTCGGGATGAAAACACCTTTTATGAGGAAAAATTAAGTAAAATTTAATTCAAGCAACAGTTCTGCTACGGCTTATGCAATCTGGAGTTAGTAAGACCCTTTTATTTAATAAAAATGAGTTTCCCTCGCTTGGGGCAAAGTCAACTGGCCAGCATTAGGCGGCCCAATTTGTCCGAATTGAGAAGAAGACCCAATTATGTAGCCATAACTTACCGCGTCCCTCATTCCAAAAGACGCTCACTGCCCCCAGTCGGATTCGAGCCGTGGAGATGCAGGTGAATAGGCGAACTGGAAAACCCTCGAAAGTCGCAGACAGATCTGAATTGACGGGTCTCTGAGCTCGGGCAGCCTTGGTTGCATGCCAATAGCCGCGACCAAACTAGCTCGAACAATGTAAACTGGCCTTTCTGTCGTCAGTTTTTTGTGTTGCGGGATCGCCTTTTTTAGGGTCTCCGATGGTCCTGCAAGCCTCGAGTTGTCGGACTGGATGCATTAGAGACCTGAAACATGTCAGCCTTTGCTCAATTGACGTCGAGCGATCACCTGATCATGGCTACAGCCCACCCGGCCAGCCAATCAGTCCCACTCTGTCCAACCGCAAACTCCCCTCTTCGATACTTTTGCACAATCTGAAGGAGACACAAGCACACAAACACACCTACATACATACACATATATACTAGCGCACATATGCACTTGTAACTTGTTGGGGTTCGGTTTGGCCGACTAGTGTCTTTCTTAATCCCAGATTTCCGCTGTCCCCTCGTCTCAGGAGCATCGGCTGTTACGTTTGTTTGTCTGTGCTCGGCCTGTACCAAAGTGAAATGTGACACTGGCCCATTCGGCCCACACATATACACACAGACGCATTCGGGTTTAAAAGAATTAACCAAACTTTTGTATATCCATACATATCTAAACTTTTTTTCGTTATGAGTATATACATCATGTAAGAATGAGCCGGTCAGCTTTCTTGAATTAGTGTCTATAAAAACTGGGTTTCGAGAATCCCCTAACTTTTGATGTTGGAGTTAAGGGGATTTATAAGTTAACAGCTAATCTGCCCTTTCGACATACAGTCCACGCCATCCCTACTCGTGGCATCCTCCTTTTGAAGTCGAGCTGTTCAAAAAGGCGTGATTCATTTTGCTCGACTCATTTATTCGAGGAAAAGTCAGGTTTAGAGAAATCTCTTGTTTCATAATTGTTCATCTTACTTATCTTTTGGGTGAAAGATTCGAAGGTAGACTCCATTAGAAGATGACGAAAGACTCCTCTTGACCAACTATGAATTAGCTTCACTGGAATATTCTTGTTGATACGGTTTCCGAGGCACTATCCCCCAATTCCGGTGTAAATGTGCTTAGCTTCGTCCGTCGTATGAGCGACATCATCAGAGCATATGCTATCATTCTTGCAACCATATTCAAGCTAAAAAGTCAGGACAACTCATCGTCTCATCCCTAAATGCTGTGTATGTGCCCTGTATCTTTGAGGAGGTATAAAGTGCTTCAACCGGATGCTGATACTTTTGATTGCTGCTCTGGGTCGAGCCTCCTCTGGGACTCTACCCTCGGCTCTAGAGGCAACCAGCCAGACGGCGAGAGATGACCGTGAGACTGCCGGCCTCATCTCCGCCACTTTGTGCGTCGCAACGGGAGTCGGCATTTAAAGAACGAAGATGCGAAAACAAACATTCATGATTCATGATTCAGGCTCAGAAGTATGCGAATTGTAGGCTTTTTGTGGTCGCATTCAAGCAAGCAGTGCTTGCTTAGGCTCGTGAGCGAACCTGAACAATGCGACTATCAGGAAGGTCTCATCAAGGCGCTGAGCATGTAGACACTCAGAGTCGAGAAAGATCTCGTTCGAGGTTCTCGAATTACAAGAATCCGGTCAATCTAGTGACATTGGATTCGTAAAACTCTTGACAACGTCTGGCTAATGCAATAATATACGAAAAAAAGTTGGGTTTCGAGGAATCTCTTGTTTCATAATTGTTGAGCTTACTTCCATTTCGAGTGGAAGTGTTGCGTGAAGAGATTCGAAGGTCGGTTCCACCAGAAGACGATGGCCGATTCCTCTTCACCAGTTGTCAATGGGCCTTAATGGAACATTCAAGTTGGCGCTGTTTCGAAGGTTATCTCCTTCGATTCCAGTGAAAAGGTGCTAAGCTTTCGTCCATCATATGACAGACATCTTCAGAGCGAGGTACGATCGTCACAACAAAATTCAAGCTAACCAGTCATGAAAACAGCATTTAGGGACAAGTCAGTGAGTTTTCTTGACTCGTTAGCTCGAATTTTGTTGTGACGATGTTACTTCGCTCTGATGATGTCCGTCAAATGACGGAG